TGTGTGTGAGTGTGTGTACAATTGTGCGAGTGCGTGCATGTGTGCGTGCGTGTGTGTGTATGGGTTAAACGTCCCTATCAACCCCTATACGCAATTTAACTTCTTCACTGGTGAAACGTTTTCATTTATTTTTGTGAAGACAAAACAAAACATTCATCAAAGAGAGTTTTAAACAAAGTATTGAGAAGAGATATGTGCATAAACTGTACTGTTTCTTTATGGAAACTTCATTTAATAACACAACACGAAAATAAAATGTTGTTAATATTGATATAAGTTATTTATGATTTATGTCATGAAAATCGCTTCGATAAAATGCAGTTTGTTCTATGGTGTAGGGTGGCTGTAATCCCTGAATAGACATTTATATACTCCCAAACAAAGTCAGACTAATTTACTTTTTTTTACTGCATTTAAGAATAAGCAACTATACAAGCTGTATTAATATATACTAAAACTCCCCCTATACAAACCAATCGAAAAATGGCAGAGAACCAGTTTTGAAGAACACAATCAAGCACTTGTGTCTACAAAGTAGTGGGAAGCTTATTACGTAGGGGTCAGAGAAATTACTCGTACTAGAGAATGAAAATGACGAAATGGTATAGGTTTAACACCCATAAGAAAATACTATTAGACTATTTAAAAGGCGGGACTACCAGGTCTAACCTTCATCTCCGAAACGACCTATCCAAATGGGAAATTCGAGTGAAGTGTCTTTCCCAAGGACACAACATTGAACCGAGCTAACGCTCGAACCCCCGAACCCACAATCTCACGATTACGAGACCGGTTGCTTATCACTTGGCTACTGAGGCAACCAAACTAGAGAGTAATATACAATGTAACGAAGGAGAAGAGATAAGGACGATAGACGTTTGATTGAAACAATGGAGGAGAGATCAGGACGACAGATGTTTGATGGAAAAGAAGGAGCAAACCACACCAAATCCCCCGCCATCTTGTAGACACTGGTGCTCTGCGATTTTTTAGGACAGAAACCTTTGTCGACATTTTTCAAGCTTTATGAATACCATTTGCGAATTATTTATTTATTTATTTATTT